TGATACTTAAACTGTTATTTTTATTACACAATAGCATGTAAGTCATAATGTGTATTATTGGTTACATTTTATAATTTAATCTGTCTTTCTCTATCAATCAACGATACTTGAACTTTTGATTTATTTATATAATAGAATGTAAGTCATAATGTTTATTATTGGTTACATTTTATAAATTAATCAATATTTCTTTACCAATCAACGATACTTGAACTGTTATTTTTATTACACAATAGTCAGTAAGTCATAATGTGTATTATTGGTTACATTTTATAATTTAATCTGTCTTTCTCTACCAATCAACGATACTTGAACTGTTATTCTCATACACAATAGTCAGTAAGTCATAATGTGTATTATTGGTTAGATTTTTATAATTTAATCTGTCTTTCTCTACCAATCAATGATACTTTGAACTGTTATTCTCATACACAATAGTCAGTAAGTCATAATGTGTATTATTGATTACATTTTATCTTTAAAACCAATCAATGATACTTGAAATTATACAATAGAACTTATGTCGTTATATTGTGTATTACTTTTACATTTGATTTTTATAATTTAATCGTATCACAATAGATGGTAATTAAGTCATATTGTGTATTATCAATTGCATCTATATTTAAATAAGTCATGAATGTTTTTTACATCTTATTTCTATCATTCAATCAACGTGTTATTTCAATTATCTTCACCTGTTACATATTAGAGCGTAAGTTGTTTTGAATGGTGCGTGTCATTAATATTAGTATAGTATGACACTATTTATGCCAGTACACAATCAAACGTAGTAGAAGAAAATCGATCTGTGAGACAAGATGAAGGTACATGTAGACAATTTATTGTAAAGATCAATTCATATAATATGCATGGACAGTCAAATTAGCTACTAAAATCTGTAGGCAATGAACATGAACTAGCACAAGAACATCAATTGGCAAGAGATAGTCAGCAATCAGGTATATAGTCAGGTTTTGTTACTTCCCCTAGTATAGACCATTATACAGTTTTTGTTTAGCTGATTCAGCTTAATTTAGTTCCTATGATTCCAATTATAGACTTGTGGAATGATGTTATTTTGATTAACATAGATGAATTAGCAAGAGATGATGAATCAGCAAGAGATGATGAATCAGCAAAAAAGGATGATCAAAAAGGTATGTTATATTTAAAATAGGTCATTTTTAGATAAGCTTGTAGGTGATGTACATGTTGCTGGAATAAAGTCATTTTTAATTCAAAATAATCTTCCACAATTACTCAATTGGGAAGAGTATGGTTTGAGGATAACAGTACCAGAAGGAGCTGTTTCACCTTCCGAAACCATTGAAGTATCCATTACTGCTCTTGTTGGTGGAGAGTTTATATTACCAAAGGATTCTGAGCTAGTCAGTGTTGTGTACACTATAACTGTCTCCAAGCCTCTACTGAAACCAGTTCAGCTTGAAATACAGCATTGTGTTTCAATTGAAACACCATCTCATGCAAATAATCTCAGTTTTGTTACTTCTTCTAGTGATCGTTGTCCTTTTGAATTTCAATCGGTACACAAAGGAAGTTTTCCAGTTGGTTCTCGGTATGGCAGTATACTCATCCCTGAATTTTCTCGATGGGCCATTGTCCGAACCATTCGGGGCTGGTTAAGAAAATTGCGCCACTCAAGTCGAAGTGTATCTCCTCAATCTATGGGAAATGAGAATCCTTTTATGCAAGGCATGATTTGTAATCACTGAGCTGATTTTACATTCTTTTTAAAATAATTTAGATGTACTGCCTGTCTTACAGTTTTTTGTTCAGCCATTGTATGAAAATAAAAGGCTGGGAAGAGAATGGCTGCTGATGTTTCTATTTGGTAGGGATCTCAATGCAATAAAAATGGTATGTTTTAAAAATAATATGCTAATGCCATTGATATTGTGCATGCAGTACATGAAGGATGAGTTCAACAGGTCAAAAAGTGACAAAGAATTATCCTTTCAGTTTGAGAGTTCTGAGGGATTTATTGAGATAGACACTGATACAGAGAACTGCAGTGAAGGCTGGTCTATAAGACCTCATCAGGAAAACCCCACCCAAGTAAGCACATGTCTTAATTGAGTTTGTATGAAATGATGCAACTTAAAATAGGTTAGTCAAAGTATCATTGATATATATGGGCGAATGAATCCTCCATGTTTTCCTCATTGTCGTTTCACAATCACTGCTACTCCTGGTAGTACTACCGTTAATCCTGAATTAAAGCATCCTGTAACATTCAGGGGAATCATATCTAACAATACAGTGTTTAACATTGTACTGTCAATAGGTAAGAAAATATAAAAATAACTGCACTTTCATCAGTTATACAGATCAGCAATCTCCAGAAGAAATTTTAAGAAAATATAAGAAGGACCTTTCTGAGAAGATGCCTCAACACATAGACATTATTGTTGATGAAGTCTTCTCTTCAGACTACATAAGCATTGACGATGAAACTCGTGACGCATGCAGGGCTAATACAGATACTTTGCTTAAAGTTCTTGCTGACATCATCAATCAACCAGGTGTGCTGACAGCATTGATAGATATCCTGAAAAAAGTTCAAGCACTCAAGCCTATAGCTGAAAATATGGAACATGAATATAATTTTACTTGACTTTTTGCTTTGTTATTACATACACCATGCTGTTACAATACAAGTAGCGTATAATAGATAGAAATTTTGGTAGAAAAGGTTTGGTAAATTGAGGTCCTGCATTTGTCAAGATTCTAATTAATAAAGCTGCAGTATGTGCATGCACATGCATGGTCAAAAATTATAATCGCTAACTACTTTTAGAGTCAATTTTTCAAATTTTAACACTAATTTTTTGCTATACGGTAGTTATTTTGCACTCTACTATAATAGCATTAAAAATTATGGTAGAAGTTTCCTTAATTCTAGCATTATAAAAGCTTATTATATAAAGGCAGAAAATAGAGTAGCATCATAGTTATAAATTATCTAACAAAGAGTCATAGATTAACAGCTATTGATCCTAATAGCACTAACAAGGCTCACTACAAAACACCTATTGTAGAACAATTATGATACAAGAATTTAGACCTACACTTATAATCCTCATGAAACTATAACAGTTATTGCAATGAATGATAAAATCAATCCCATGGCAGGAATTGTCCCACTGGCTCCATTAGAGCCAGTAAGCATAGCTTGGTAATAGAAGTTGCCTTAATTTCATCATGGCCGTTTCATTAGCCAACAGATAATACTGAAGCACTGCCTGAGTACTGAGTAGCAATTCATAGTATAGCTCTAACAAGGAGTCCTAGATAACAGCTATTGATCATGCATAAAAGCATAAACAAGGCTCACTACAAAACACGAAGTGTAGAAAAATTATTACTGTACAAGAGCTATATAATATACCGTATATTACTGTATGCATTTATAATCCTCATAAAACTATAACAGTTAGTATTGCAATGAATGATAGAATCAATCCCATGGCAGGAATTGTCCCATT